CATGTGGATTTGATATGATGCAGGATGCAGCCCCAGACTCACTGACACACTCCAAACATGACAACCCAATCACCTTCCTCCTAGCAACAGCCAGCACCGTTGATGCAAGCTCATTACTGTGACTGACAGGGAAGACAGCCCATCAGAATAGTGGCAGCCACCTTGACTGAGGGCCAGGAAGAAGGGGACAGAATGGAGACTATCAAGTCTCAAATTAAGCAGATGTCATTTAATAAATGAGATTAGGATGGAAGAGCAGAGATGGCCACCGTCTTGGAAATCATTACGAGGAGGCAAGGAATCTGCTGGTAAATGATTTAGCATATGAACGTTTCTTTTCCAATGACTGTGCCAACTGTTCTCCAATTTCTCATCCCCTCAAATCTTCCCAAACAGAGCTTTTTTTATTCACAGATTACCAATGATTATTGACATTAGAGCCTACAGAAATTATTATTTGATCCAACCTACCCCACCCATTTCACAGGTGACTAAACTGAGATATGGGGAGGGGAGGTTCACTTATCTAAGATGACGAGTTGATGGGAGAGAACAAAATTAGAACTTGAACTTCAAGCCTCCCAGGTGAGGTTTGTAAAGTGGAATTATTTCTTTAACAGAACAGCATTATAACATCCCTTTAATGAGAAATGCAAAATGATTGGGGGAGGGACAACAACAAATCTGTTCTCACTCATTTTCCATACGCTGTATGTTAATTACTGTACATGTTAACGACTTTAACATGCTATTAGCATATGATATGTATTCAGCATTTTTCATACATACAGATACCTCATGTGCATTATCTCATCTACTCTGTACCACAATTGCAGAAGGTAGGTACTACTGTTACCCCCATTTTATAGATGAACAGACAGAGGGGTGGGAGCATTGCATATACTGTCTAGGAAAATAGTTCATATGTATGGGTCCAGAATTTGAACCCATACTTTCTGTGACTCCAAACCTTGTGTGTCTGTTCACCAATATATACTCTGGTCACCGATATATACACCAATATATTTCTCCCTAGATTCATGGTTAAGGACATGAATTTTGGAATCAGACCTCGGTTAATATCTAGCTCTGTTGTGTGCTGAATCTGTGATCTTGGGAAGATCGCTATAGATTTGAGCCTCAGTTTCCTTGTATATAAAATTGATAGTAGTGCCACATTTTCTAATTAAGGACACACATTGTTTTCACATTTTAAAAATGTTTCTCAAATTGAAATGTGACTTACAGTTGACTTAGATTATTACCTTCCTTAATTTTTGAATTGATGGTGCATCTGACAACTTATGGCATATTAGAATAGAGAAGATACAGCAATAAAACCTCAACCGAGTAAGATAACTGATTAGTTTTACATTTTCATTGGGCTCAATTCTTGGTTGGCTATGGAGAGACTTCATCCATCCATCCAACCATCCATCTGTCCATCCATCCATCCAACCATCCATCCAACCATCCATCCATGCATCCACGCATCCATCTGTCCATCCATCCATCCAACCATCCATCATTCATCCATCCATCTATCCATCTATCCATCCATCCTTGATTCATTAAATAGGTACTGAGTCATTGCACGGGCAGAGGGATATGATGATAAACAAGACAAATTGAATTACTGCTCTGTGGAACTTTTAGTTTAATAGAAGTGATATTCTTTAGAATGATGGTTAAAGTAAAGCTTTTAGACTCAGATTTAACATCCAGTAGAGAGACATCAGTGGACATGGTATAAAATAAAGACTCCCCAAAATCTGCTCTCGTAATAAGCAATGAAAACTCTAAAATTGTCAAAAGAGTCAACATTACCTTTTTCAGAACTCTGGACATTAACAAATGCTTGTAAAAATCCAAGGAGCGCTTACTAAAGAAAGACTGCTAAATATTGTTAGAAATAGAGAGATATGTGGCATTCTAACTTGCCTGGTTGCAATTTACCTCTGTGATAGTCTTTAAAAACCAGCAGCTTGCAATCATAGTGAAGACCAGAAGCCTGAAAGTCACTGGAAGGGGCATGAAAATAGGTTTGGAGTGCTTCAAAAGCAAGATTCTCAGATATTGTCATTATTCCTCTGTCTGACAGTTCCCTGGCAACATGCACTCAAAAGGCTTATATTTATTTGACCTGCCTCAGAGTTTTCTCTGTGTGGGCAATCTTTCCTGAAGGCATTTGTCCAAAACAATAAGCGGCAATTGTTGAACATAGCAACTGCCTGAGGCAGTGATAAGAATGTGAACAAACAAAACTCTGACCAAAATACTTAAAAGGAAAAGGTGAATAAGGAGATGTCCATGGAGGATTTTGAAAATCTCTGACCTGTTCCTGAGAATCTAGAGCCACACAGATATGCAAGATTGTGTGCATGCCCAGGTTATATGCATATGCTCAGAAAAGAACTGAAAAGACCCCTAAACTAGCTGACCTTGATGCTCCATACAAGCAGGAAGTGAGAGCTAAGGCAGAGTTGTAAAAAACAAAAAAACAAAAAAAAAAAAAGAAAGAAAGAAAAGACTTAAATAACTAAAATTAAGAATGAAAACGAAGCCATTATTACTGATTTTATAGAAATAAAAGTAATTATAAGGAAATATTATGAACAGTTGTTTGTCAACAAATTAGAAAACCTAAATAAAATGGACAGGTTTCTAGAAAGACACAACTTGCTCATGCTGGCTCAAAAAGGGATTTATTAGTAATAATAATAAAAAATTCACACAAAACAAGTCTCAAACCCAGATGGTTTTACTAATGAAATTTACATTTCAAAAGGAAGTAATAATAAACCTTCACAAAGGATTATTTAAAAAGAGAAAAAAGTTATCTAGAAAATACTTGTCAATTCATTCTATTAGCCCAGTATTACCTTGATACCCAAATCTAATAGACATGACCAAAATAAAGAGAAAACTACAAACCAATATCCCTTGTGAGGATACATGCAAAAATCTTCAATAAAATATTAGAAATTATATTCAGTAAAATATACAAATGAGTATACATAAAGACCAAGTGGGGTTTATCCCAGAAATATGAAGTTGGTTGAATATGTTAAAATCAATTAATGTTGTATACCATATAAGAGAATTAAGGCAAAAACTCCCATGATTATTCTAATAGATGCAGACAAAGCATTTGAGATATCCAGCATTCTTTCATGACAAAAACCCTTAATAAACTAGGGATGTAAGGGAGCATCCTCAACATGGTAAAGAACAGCCCATGAAAAACCCACAGTTAACACCATGCTTAATGATGAAAGGCTGAATGCTTTTTTCCTAGGACGAGTATCAAGACAAAGGTGTCACCTGTTATTACTTCTATTTAACATTGGTCTAGAGTTCCTAGTCTGGGAAATGAGGCACGAAAAAGAAATAAAGGGCATTCAAATTGGAAAGAATGCATCAAAAGTGACATCCTGGCATCTGTTACCAGATGACATAATCTCATATACAGAAAATCCTAATTTTTTTAACTGCTTGAGCTAATAAATTATTTCAGTAAAATAACAGGATACAAGAGCAATAGGTAAAAATCCATTCTATTTTTATAAATTTGCCCTGGATAATCCAAAAAGAAAACTAAGAAGAGAATTCCATTAGCAATAGCATTAAAAAAAATTAAGAAATTTAAGAAGCATAAGACTTGTACACTAAACTTCACAACACATCTCTGAAAGCAACTAAAGAAGACTTAAGTAAATGGAAAGATATCCTGTATCCGTGGATAAGAAGACTTAATATTGCTAAAATGGCAACACTCCCCAAATAGATCTGAAGATCCAACCCAACACCTATCAAAATCCTAGCTCCCATTTTTGCAGCACTTGACAGGATGATCCTAAAATTTATACAGGTTTCAAAACCCCATATAAAAAAATACAAGAGGTTTCAAATCATGGGGAAAAATCTTAACAATAAAAAAAGTTAGAAAAGTCACATTTTCTGTTTTCAAAAGTTATAGCAATCAAAACAGTTACCCAGGCTGATGGAAGAAGTCCATCTTGGACATTGATAATTGTGTTGCCGAGAAAAAAGAGAGGAAGTGAAACTACCATACTCTGAACAATTCTGCTCATAATTGTTTCACATCATTTTGGTTCCATTGCAATGGCATAAGCAAGTCCAATGGCTAAAACTTGGTGTTAATGAGCACACCTAATAATCCTCCCTGAGGGAGGGGCAGTGAATATTTCGAGCAATTATAATATGACCAGGTGATATTTTAGACAGAATGATGGCATAATAATTTGGAGGTTTGGTCACTCCTGGAGCAGGATTGATTCTCTGGCAGAATCGTCAGAAAGTGTGAAGGTGATGTCAACACACTTATATAACGACATGCATCTCAGCACATTTACATCCAGGTGGGGAAATCCCATGTCAGCCCACTCACCTCTCTAATGTATCTGAAGTCATTTTAGCTCTTACCTCTATAATCAGAGGTGGTTTTACCAGAGGGCCCAAGAGAGATTAAAATTGCAGAAAATTGAATTGGGACTGTGGCTATGAGCAAACAAATTTACTTTTTTTAAAGGTTGATTAAAAACTAAATTTCTGTTTCTAGGGGTGGAGCTGAAAGAACATCCCTTATTCTATAAGTTATAGGGTGTTTATTTTATTTTTTATCTTTTTGGAGACAGGGTCTCACTCTGTTGCCCAGGCTGGAGTGCAGTGGCATGATCTAACTCACTGCACCCTTGATCTCTTAGGCGATCCTCTCACTTCAACCTCCCGAGTAGTTGAGACTACAGGTGCACACCACCATGCCCAGCTAAATTTTTTATTTCTTGTAAAGATGTGTTGCCCAGGCTGGTTTAGAACTCCTGAGCTCAAGCAATCCACTCGCCTTGGCCTCCCAAAGTGCTGGCATAACAGGCATAATCCCCATACCCAACCATGAGATGGTGTTTGTATCAAAAAAGATAAAGCCCCCTAAGGAAAGTTAATGAGCATTAACTTTAATACTGCTTCCATCCTCTCAGGAGGAAGAAGAGCGGGAAGGGTCACAGCATCTCACCATCCAGCCAGAGCACAGTGTATGCCAGTGGTGGAGAAATGGGTGAGCCCCAAGAGCTAGTTGTTGCCTTGGATGGTCAGAGAATGAGTCTCTTATTTCATCATGGACCACAGTAGCAGCCTTAGGGGCAGCATTCATGTGCTGTTGCTCAGCCTTCACAGCAAAGAAAGCTATAGGCTGATCCCTTTATGAAGCACGGTGAGTATTGAGAGACAACCATGTACTCAGGGATGAGCTGCTCGGGTGCTGGTAAATCCCAATTCTTTTTTATTGTATTTCCAGATGCCAGTCATTCATTTACATTTCAAAAGTCATATTTGTTCCTCATGACTCATTAGCTTGGAGGGAGGGGAGAGCAAAGAGGATTGTCCCAGTATGTCTCTGTTACCTGGACTGCTATGCCATGCTGAGCAGAGAGCAAAGCTGGGATACCTGAAACCTATGATACCCATGGGTTTTGATCCTGATCACCTTTAATATGCTAATAAAATGTAAAAACACATATGTGGTTCTCTTGGCACAAATGTATTCTACAGGTCTGTTGCATCTTGTTGAATGTGAAAAAGAAGATTTTACTCAGAATATAGCTCAGTAATAGTCCCTCTTGGGCATATCCTTTCTCTATGGAAAATAAAAACAATAGCATTTATGCAAATCCAGGTGCAGTAGCTCACACTTGTAATCTGAGCATCTTGGGAGGCTGAGGTGGGTAGATCACTTGAGGTCAGGAGTTCAAGACCAGCCTGTACAACATGGTGAAACCCCATCTCTACTAAAAATCCAAAAAATTAGCCAGTCCTGGTGGCATGCACTGTAATTCCAGCTACTTGGGAAGCTGAGGGGGAGAATTGCTTGAACCTGGGGCGTGGAGGTTGCAGTGAGCTGAGATCGTGCCACTGCACTCCAGCCTGGGAGACAGAGCAAGACTCCATCTAAACAACAACAACAAAAATGTTTATGTCAATTGGAGAGCCCTGAAGTCTGTCACCCTGCTAACTGCAAAGCCTGATGGATAGATGATGTCTTGGGATTTACATTACTTAGGGATAGAACTCAAACTAGTTTAGGTCAAGAGAAAAAGTTAATGACCCACATACTTCAATAGTTTGGTGATTGTTCTGATACAGCTACCTCAGGTATGACTGGTTCCAGGTACTCAAATAACATCATGCAGACTTGGTCTGTTTCCCTTTCTTGGCTCTGTTTTACTTTGTGTTGGTTTTATTCTCAGGCAAGCTCTCTCCATGTGGTGGCAGGATGACTGTACATTCCAAGCAGCCCTGGCATTACTGGAGTGTCTACTGCCAAATAGTTCCAGCACAGTTTCTAAGTTGTGTTATATATCCTGCCTGTGTCTTGTGTCCACCACTGAAATAGCCACTGTGTCCAGGAAGATGCAGTGGTCTACTTGACAAGCCCTCCTTCACATGCCTAGAGTGGAGTCAACTCACCTGAATCATATAGAGAAATGGAGAGACAGGCTGTTATTCATGCACCTGCCATAATATATAAGGTGCTCTATAGATTAATTATTTTCCTACCTTTCTCCTCTTCTAGGTGCTGAACAGCACAAGGGCTTGGGCTATGTAATGTATCTCTATAAGTCCAGTGTCTAGTACAATGTATGAAACATGTGAGTGCCCAATAACCGATCAGTATTGAACATGAATGAGCGTTCAATAACAGGGTGATAAATCACAAGGACCATCTGCACTCTCATTACCTGGTTTGGGATTTGTCCCATAGCTCAAAAATATTTGTCAAGTGAATCAGCATTCAGTTCCTCTGGGGATATAAATTATACCTGATTAAGTGTTTATGTTCTCAGCAAAATATACAGTAAGTAACCAATGATATTTATTAAATAAGAAAACAGTTGAATGGGTGAGCTTTAAGTTTCACCACTCGAGGAATCTCATCTGCTTCATCACTCAATTCCTGGTGGTAGGTCCAGTAAGCCCTACCCTCTAGGGACCCAAGATACCTCCATCCTTACCCTCCTACATCCCAGCTGGAAAGCTCCTTCTCACCTGTATCCCAGAGGATGTCCAGAGGATGGGGGCCACAGCAAGAAGGTAGTGAGTTTGAATATGAAAAAGAGGCAAGAAGAAGACAAATCAGGAGTTCACTCCAAGTTCACATTCATCTTATTTTGGAAGGAAGTGGGAAAGGAGAACAAAGTTATCATGTATAATGCTGCCTATTAAAATGCTTGCTCTCTCTGATGGTGATTAAGATGGATGCAGCATCATACTGACTTTCAGAGGGAGTGGGAGTACAGCTGACAATTTTCCCATCAGAGCTTTTCACAAAGAAGGAGCAACTCTCAGGTCCCCGCCACCACCCAACTTCCCTCCTCCTGCTCCAGCCTGCCTTTCCTGCACAGCTTCTGGCTGCTTCAAGGCACTGGAGGAGGAATTCATCAGGGGCTGACAAGTGGCAAATGACATTAGCTGCCAACTATATTTTTTTAAATGTGAACAGAACAGTGATAATGTCTTATTCGCTTCTCCCTATTTCCAGTCCTTCTGCCTAACAATAGTACCTGGATCCTGGTAGGTACAGGATACTTTGAATTACTCTGTGGTTGGGCTTTTGTCATTTTCAGCTATCTCTTGTTCCTTTCCTCTTCTTCTATGCCTTTTTTTACTTTTGGGGAGCCACTCCCTTCTTTCAATTTATGTGGTTCTGGGGATTAAAGGAGCTAATTATGTCAAATTCTTAAAATATCCCCTTGCTCCATTAACATTAGCTGTCATCATAGATAATATCATTATAGCTAATATATCATCACGGCTAATATTATATTATACTTTATGAAACACCCATGGCACAGGATACCATAAAAAAAAATTTGAGAGTGTGCAAAGGGCCTTTTATAATTAAAAAAAAAAAACAATTGTTTTAAAGAATTAAATAAGCATAAGAGTTGGAAGATAAAATTAAAAAATCTCAGAGAAAGTAGAACCAAAAGACAAAGCTATAGAAACACAGAGATACATACATATGTTTAATTTGAGCATCAATTCAAGAGGTACAGTATTTTCAGAATCCTCAAAAAGAAAAAAGAAGATTACAGAGGAAAGAAAATTATCAAAGAAAATATACAAGAAAAAATTCCAGGTTTGAAAAATACTATTTTTTGTATCAAAAGTCCTTTCTAACCCTGTGCTGAGAACAAAACAGTGAGGGGGAAAAAAGCCAGTCAAATCAGAATGTATCATCATTACATTAAAAAAAAAAGAAAAAATAGTGTAAAGAGAATTGTTTCAATGCTTTAAAAGAGAGAAACAGCAGATGATGTACAAAGCATTGGAAATCAGAATGGCATTGGCTTTTTCAACAGTAACATAAGGAACTAGAAGATACTACAATAGCAAGTTTGAAATTCAGACTACTAATAATTTCCAGATTGAAAATCTATCGTTATTCAAACTATCGATCAAGTTTAAAGGGGAGCCTAGACTTTTTTTTTAATTTGCAAGTTCTCAGAAAGATGTTGCACAATGTATTCCACCAAAATGAAGGAGTAAGCTAAAAGAAATAATAAGTTTTCTGAATGTATTCAAGTTTAGATTCAAGCAGAGAATAAGAGGCAAAGATAATAATCAAAAATAGTTTTGAAGAGAAGTCCCTCAATGACAACCAAACCAGATTATAGAAGAAAGACAGGGGGATTAGAGAGATAGAAATAAATGGTTCTTAGGAAAGCAGTGGAAACAATAACCAATAGAATGATGCATTTATTTGTCTGTGAGAAAAAGTGTTCAAAGGATTTCTAGTGTTCTGTGGAGACTGCGAAGTCATTTATCCATAGGAAACTAAACAGATTTCAAAATGAGACAACTGTCAACTCCAGGAAAAGCATAAAATTATAGAACTAAGAAAAGTGAGTCAAAATATACCCCTTGACTCAACAGTGCACTTACATCTACTGAGGCATGTTCTATTGATGATCACATTGTATTATAAATATTGAATGTTCCTTTGACTGTATTTGAGATGTAAATTTATTGGATGGGTTGTGGAGGGAAGTGGTGTTGGTGGTGCTATTCCTGCTGCTTACAAAGGGCTAAATTCTCATTTACTGTAAGAGAAATTAATTTCTAAATTCAGAAATATATGCAATCATACAAATATATTATCTATAAACCTAACTAAGTATATAGATGTCAGAAGAAATAACAAGAAGTTGTATAATTTATGTTGTGTCTGGAGAAGGACTTGGGAACATTGAGAACATGGGAGGTTGCTTTTTGTCATAACATGTGTAATATGATTTAAAAATCTTTAGAACTAATTATGTGTATTATTTTGTTAATAAAAATTAATTTAAAAATAGGTAAATGGGCCAGGCACGACAGCTCATGCCTGTAATCCCAGCACTTTGGGAGGCCAAGGTGGGTGGATCACGTGAGGTCAGGAGTTTGAGACCAGCCTGACCAACATGGAGAAACCCCATCTCTACTAAAAATACAGAATTAGCTGGGCCTGGTGGTGCATCCGCAGTCACTAAGTGTTCGTTGCACATCAGGCACTATTCCAGACTTTGGAAATAAAGCAATAAGAAAACTAAGTCATCACTCTCATGGAACGTACATTCTGTGGAGAGAAACAATAAATAAATAAACAAATAGGACAAGCAATTAAAAATGCTACAGAAAAAAATGAATTAAAAGTGGAAAGAAGGTGATGGGAGATGGCAGGTATTTTACAAGACTGGTTAAGGATGGCCTTTCTGATCAGGTAGGACTGGAGCAAAGATTTGGAGGACATAGGAATGGAGAAAGCTGAATTCCATGAAGAGGAAACAGCAAGAATCAAAGTCTCAAGGCAGGAGTGTGTGTAAAATACAAGATAATAATATGCAGATACTTCAAAAAGAATGAGGCAGATCTGATATGGATTGATCTTGAACGTATATCCTCAATACAAATAAAGAGGAAGAATAGAGCATTCTGCTGTCTATGGAGAGAGAGGGATAGAGACAAATGAGTATTTATACTCAAATAGAGGGAAAGACAAATGAGTATATGCTGTGTATAGGTAGAATATCTCTGAAAAGTTGAGCAAGAAACCGGTAATAGTGATGTCCTTTGCATACTGGACCTGGAAAGGGCATTGAGATGATCATATTAGGTTGGTGTCAATGTAATTGCAACAGCCTCGATTACATTTGCACCAAGCTAATACTTTATGTGTTTTTGAGACAGAGTCTCCCTCTGTCACCCAGGCTGTAGTGCAATGTCACAATCTCAGCTCACTGAAACCTCCATCTCCCAGGCTCAAGCAATCTTCCCACCTCAGCCTCCAGGTAGCTGGGACCACAGGCATGTGCCACTACACCTGGCTAATTTTTGTGGTTTTGGTAAAGGTAGAGATGGAGTTTTACCATGTTGCCCAGGCTGGTCTCGAACTCCTGATCTCAAGTGATCCACATGCCTCAGCCTCCCCAAATGCTAGGATTACAGACATGAGCCACTGCACCCGGCCAACACAATCCTAATACTTTAAATGTAATATTTTGAGTTTGATTTTTTAATGGGATGCACCTATTTGCTATTTTTTAAAGAACTTACCTGTTTGAAAAAATTACTGATGTTAGAATAGAAGAAGAAACTATGCCTCCTTCCTGGTTTATACATTCAGAAATTTTTTAGTTTGGCAGGGGGCATTAAAATGTCTAGTAAATCCCATTCTTCTGTGTTCATAGGCAAATAATAAGGTTCAAAAAATTCAGGATAGGAACTACATGGGATTAGAGGCCACCCAGGACAATGAATGCAGACTTCAAGCTCTCCTGTATGGTTCCTCCACTCCGTTCCCTGTGGTCATGTTGGCAGTTAGCTTTTGGGTAATGAGATGCTAGGAAATAATCACCTTTTTGCATCTTATGAAATAGCTGTGATAACTCTTCTCTCTGGCCAGGTGATCCCTGTCTTAACTTTTGTTACCCTGAGGACTTCAGAGGCCATGGTTATTGGAATAAGGAGATGTACTCACAATAACCAGTGTATGGCATGAGGATCTGGCTATGGTAGGTTTCCAATTCCACCATGGATATAAGAGCAATGGTATCCAGTTTTCTCCTCCAAAGGCCAGAAAGCAATGGAACTCTGGACCTCAGGCTACAGCAAATATCATTCAGAGTGGAGAGACGGCAAACTTGAAGCTTTAGGGACAAGAAGTCCATAGATTATGTCTAGAAAGAGCGTTTTTTTTGCATGAAAGAAAATGAAGAGAGGTTCAATTCCACCCTTTTCCCAAATGTCCATGATCTGCCAGACACAAGCTCAAAGATTTGATTCTTAAATTAAGATTTAAATAAATTTGGCATGAATTCATTGTTTTTATAAAAAGTTTGAGAGTAAATTCATCCGAATTAAAAATGTCTTCTCTGTGAAAGACCCTGTTAAAAGGATGCAAAGACCAACTCTAAACTGTGAGAAAATATTTGAAAACCAGTATCTGGTAAAGAGTTATTATCTGTAATATGTAAAGAATGCTCCAAACTCAAAAGTAAAAACAAGCAAACAATTCAATCAGAAAATGAGCAAAAGACAGTAAGAGACATTTTACCAAAGAAGATATGCATGAAGAAAAAACACAAGTAAAGATAAGAAATTTGAATTAAAGTAACAGTACAGTATCACTACATGCCTATCAGAATTGTTAAAAAGTCGTGACAACCCCAAATGCTAGCAAGGATGCAAATATTAATAAATTCATAGGTTTCATATGGTAATGTAAAATAGTATAGCCATTCTGAAAAACAGTTTGGTGGTTTTCACAGAAAATTAAATCTGCAAGAATCAGCAATTGTATTCTTGGGCATATATCCCAGGGAAATTGAAATTTACATTCACACAAAAATCTTTACAGGAATTCTTATAGCAGCTTTATTCATAGTAGCCCCAAACGGAAGCAATCTAGATGCCTTTCCATGGGGAAATGCTTAAACAAACTATGGCATATCCTTGCTATGAAATGCTACTCAGCAATGAAAAGGAACAAACTACTGGTACAGGTAACAACTCGAATGAATCTCAGAGGAATTATGCCGAGTGGAAAAAGGCAACCCCAAAATGCTGCATGCAGTGTGACTCCACTTATATCTTTGAAATAGCAAAGTAAGTGATGGCTAGGGATTAAGGATAGGGACAGGGCAAGAGGGAATTGGGTGTAAGAAAGGACACCAGAAGGAATCCTGTGACAACGGAACTCTTCTATATTGTGAACGTGCCCATGGATATATGAACCTACACATGGTAAAAAGTACATAGAGCTAACTCTGCACACACATATGAGTACAGGTGGGAAATCTAAAGAACATCAGTGGAGCTTATCAATGTCAATATCCTGATTATGATATTGTACTATAATTTTGCAAAACATTATCATCAGGAGAAACCAGATAAAGGGTACACAGTATCTTTCCATATTTTTTCTTACAGATGTCAAAAATTAAAAGCTGAAATCCCAGTGATTCCCATCTGAGTCATGGGAACACCTCCACCTCATCCTGGAAGTAACCACTTGTCGCGTTTATGCGTGTTCTATGCTGGGAGAAGAAATAGCCCTTTGAATTCGCAAGCCTGGATTCAGATCCTGATTCCACAACTCAGTAGCCTTGAGGGAGTAAGTTAATTTCTCTGCCTAGCTTCCTCTTTGTAAAACAAGATGCAGTGATAGTACTTAGCTTGTTATAAGAATTTAATAAGTTAATACATACCAGTTTCTTAGAAGTGTGTTGGGTACATACTAAATTCTCGATATTATTTTTACTATACATGTATCCTTAGAAAACATGTAGCATGACCTTCTTTGTCGTTGATTTTTGTTTATTTTATACAAATGATGTCATGCTTCTATATCAGTCTGTTATTTGCTTTTTTCTTCCTGAAACAATATGCTTTAGAGTCCTTTCCATGTCGGTAAATATAAACTGTCTCATTTTAGTTGCTATTGTAATTTTTAATTACACTGTAATTGCTGCATAGTATTCCATTTGTATGGCTATATTTAAATTTATTTACCATTTCCCTACTGATGGATATCTAGTTTGTCTCTAATGTTTTACTATCTAAATTGATATGCATGTCTCTCTGAGCTACACATGAGAAATAGAATAGCTAATTTACTGAAAATGGCTTTTACACTTTAAGATGTTGTGTTGAGAGTCAGTGCTGTCTATAAACATTTCTGTGCCTTCCCCCCAGCAATAGTTTAAGAAATCTTCTTGCCACTTAAAAAAAAATCACTGCCTTGTAATTCGCGTATTATAAAGTTCACCTGTTTCTGTAAATTTACACAGAATTTGCAACCAGCACCATGATTCACTTTGTTATGGGTTGAATTGCACTCTTTCAAAAAATATATGTTGAAGCCCTAATTCCTAGTACCTCCAAATGTGACCTCATTTGAAAATAAAATTGTTGTAAATATAATTAAATTTAAGATGAAGTCATGCTAGAGTAGGGTGGACCTGATATTCAATATGATTTTTGTTCTTATCAGAAGACAAAAATTTAGACTCAGAGACAGACAGAAAACATCACGTGAGAATGGGGGCAGTGATTGGCTTGATGTGCTGCAAGCCAAGTGATGCCTCGGGCTACGAAAAGCTGAAAGAAGCAAGGAAGCTTCCTCCCCTAGAGGATTTTAAGAGAGCAGAGCTCTGCCCACACTTCGTTATCAGACTCCTAGCCTCCAGAACTGTTAGAGAATAAATTTCTGTTGTTTTAAGTTACCTGGTTTGCAGCACTTTGTTACAGTAGTTCTAAGAAAGTAACAGAAACTTTAAAAACATTTCCTTCACTATTAGATCCTTTACACTAGTTTACAGTTGATAGTTTGCACTGACCCCAGAAAAGCCTTGAGTCTGTATTGCAATATAGGAGACCCAAAATCTTTCAGTTGCTGCCTGAATTTGTATTATTCATTTTTCCTTCTTTCTTTTTTTAAAGACAGTGTCCCACTCACGGAGTGCCATGGTGCAATATCAGATCACCACATCCTCTGTTTCTAGGATTCAAGTGATTCTCATGCCTCAGCCTCCCATGTAGCTGGGATTACAGGCATGCACCACCATGCCTGGCTAATTTTTGTATATTTAGTAGAGATGAGTTTCACTATGTTGGCCAGGCTGGCCTCGAACTCCTGACCTCAAGTGATCCACCCTCCTTGGCCTCCCAAAGTGCTGGGATTATACACATAAGCCACCACACCCAGGCTGCAATATTCTTTAGGGTTCATTTTCACTGAAGAAAATTACTCAATAACTATGGTCAAGTTTAGGATATAACTTTCCTCCACCTTCGTTTCCACCCTTACACCCTGAGTCTCAGTAGTTTTCAACCATTGGAATCAAACTCAATTTTGAAATTTTCTTGGAGGGTGAAAATCCCCTCCAAGAAAAAAAAAAGACATGTGTCTCATATATCTTCACACTACAAAATTTGACTGACATATTGGAATTCTGAGAGTCTACCCGTGAAGCCTCTTCTACAAACTATTGGTATTTCCATGCTTGTGAAGAGGTCAATACTACCTGAGACAGCCCATTCCATCTTGGGGAGCTCTATATCCTACAGCGTAGTTTCAGTGCCTTAAAAATCCTCCATCCTCCACTTACTCATCCCTCCCTCCTGCTATCCTCTGGCATCCACTGAGCTGTTTGCTCTCTCCACAGTTTTACCTTTCCCAAAACTGTGATTGAGCTGGGATCCTACAGAGCGTAGCTTTTCAGATTGGCTTCTTTGAATTAACCATATGCATTTAAGAGCGATGTCTTTTTATGGCTCAATAACTCATTTCTTTTTAGTTCTAGATAATAATCTATTGTTCATGGTAAAAGTGGAAAGCATTTCACTATGTACATGTATATGAAAACATTATGTTGTATACCTTAAATATATACATTTAAAAAAGAAAACATATTTCATTGTCTGGATGTCCCATAGTTTATTGATTCACCTACTGAAGGATATAGACCTTTTATAGAATTAAATTAGGGCTGCAATATACATCCCAGGGACTACAGCAGAGAATCAGCCGGTGGCAGCATTCCAGATCACTTGAAAGTCAAACAGGTCCTCTGGTTAACCTAGGCTCACAATGATGTACTCCAAAGGACAGAAACCCAAAGGTCCCTAACGTCCCAACACCCACTGCATTAAGAATTTAAAGAAATAAAACTGATTTGTTGTAGAGGCTGCGATTGTTCTGGAAGATTAAAGTGCAACACCTCCACTGACTGTAATCACTGAGGAGTTCTTTCTGTCCCTGAAGGGTTGACCAACTTCCCTAAGATGGGTGCTCTTTAAAGCTCTAATCACAGAAATGCTCTCCATTCTCGATTCTTATTTCCACTTACTTCTAAGGACAATACTGGGTTAGGTGCTCGGCTTAAAGGAGTCTTCAAAGACCCCAATTGGCAAGTGGCAACAGATACAACTTGAAAAGAAAATCAGAATGCTTTGCCTTGGTTGGCTGAAGTGTGAAGTAAACAGAACTTAAATACTATTTTTTTTTTTTTACTTTATTTTTTTCTGTAACTGAGCCTAAAACTAAAAGGGATTTTCTCTCTATCTTTTTATAAGATACCAGGTACACCAGAAGCAAGCATGCATTTTCTAAAACCATTGAACCATGACATCAGAATATTCTTTAAATCACACCAGAACCGAATCTGCATTTCATCTAGCCTCTGATCTACATTAGGCCTCAGACATGGAATTGTTTTACCCGATTGCAAGCCAGCATGAAGTGTGTTTGTTGGACCTGTCGTGGCTCAGCTGTCATGTTGCAGTCCGATTCTGTCTTACTGGTTCTCTGCATCAGTATGGCTGGCTCTCTTTGTCCCTCTGTGTTTCTGTCTTTTCTCTTTCAGTCTCTGTCATTCTGTCTGTGATCTTTCTCCCTTTCCTGCTGCCCTCTTCTGAAGTGCTTTTAATACTAGGTCACGTTTAAGATCAGATAGCCTAAGCTTGAAATCACCTCCTGTCTCCATCTTCAGTCTCATCCGTTAACATGCTTAGAACAGTACGTGGTATGTAACAAGCATGTTACGGTCATTTACTATTATTATTCCCCTCATTTGTGTAGCACTTTTCCACGAAGTTTCTGAGATCAGCACACTGGGTAACACCACGGAATGGAAAGAAAAGACTTTGGGAGAAAGAAGATTTCATGGACTGATGAAATACGTAAGGTTAGTTCTCTTGGCTGCATGCTTCTCTTATCTTTTACAAGAGGCCATCTGAGCTATCTCAGACGATTGTAGGGTGTGCACATGGTGTATCTTAATTCTCATAAGACGTTGGCTGTTGAATCTCTAGTCCGACCATGGCAATCTGTGAAAACAAGAATATTGAGGAGAAAAGGAGAGAATAGAAGTGGAGAAAGAGGATGAGAATTAGCGAGCAAAGAGTTGATAAGAGTGACAGTAAAGGGAAGAGAAGGTGAGAGACGGAGTGATAGTCACTAAAACTATTTTATTATGTACATGTATATCAAAACATTATGTTGTACACCTTAAACATAAACATTTAGAAAAGAAAACATATTTCATTGTCTGGATATACCACAGTTTGATTCACCTACTGAAAGATATATGTGTCCTACTGACAGAGTAAGTGAGATCAACCTGCATCCTTGGAAAAAGATGCTATAGCCCACATTATTGCTTCTTATAATAAATTATACAAAATAGAAGTCTATTATCTGCTTAACTTAGTCTTGGTATAATTCACTGTGCTGCCTTAAGCCTCGGTTTCCATCTGAGGTCTTACCTTCATGAGCAAAAGTGTAGCTCTGTACAGCAGAGATTTAGCTCCTTTGCAACTGAAAGAAGTTAGGCTAAAGAAAGGAAAAACAAGGTATGCGGTGTTACAGAGTTAGAGAGAAGAGATACTGAAGTATTTTATTTGGAAGCAGCAAATAAAAAGCAGCCCCCAACGAATCCATCCCATGCCACTTGCAATCAATACGCATTATTATAGTTACACAGATGACTGGGTTCGGGGGGAGTTCCAAGCCAGTAGTTCTCAACCTTGGCAGCACACAGGGATCACCTGAGAGCTTTTTTTAAAAAAAATTAAAATGTGTTCAGGTCCACCTAGACCAATTAAAGAGTGGAATCCAGGAACCAATAATTTTGGAGGTCCCCAGGTGACTCCAATGTGGGGCCAAGGTTACAGATCTCTCATCTTGCAGATCCCTATGAGCCAAGTCACACAGTATTTGAGCTCTGTAACCTGACTGTGGGTAAAGTAGCTCAATGCCTGTACCTGTTGGGTAATTAAGGTAACAATTCACGGACTGTCAGAGGACTATGAAAAGTCCATCTGTTTGGGATAATGCAGTTTAATCAAATGATGTTCTTCAAAAATGACTATCTCATCCTCTGACATTTGGTTTGTCCCAAGTGTCTGAAGGTCCTGGTTTGCTGGTATCTGTTTATAGCCATCTGCTGCCAGTGATTGTGAAGGCGAGTAACAATGTGTTGCCAGGTGAGGCATGTAGCAGGGCAGCTTCCCTACCTGCTTGTTTCTTGGGGGTAAAGGTATCTTCACTTCTGGGAGTCAAGATACCTCAAGTATCCTAAATGCACCTGTTATCGATTGAGTTGTGTCTTCCCAGTATTCTTATGTTGAAGTCTTAACTCCCAGTGCCTTAGAATGTAATTTTTTTGGAAGTAGGTCCATTGCAGATGTAATTACTTAGGGTAAGGTCATACTGGGGTGTGATGGCTTGATAGCTCATTTCTTTTTAGTTCTAGATAACAGTCTATTGTTCATGGTAAAAATGGAAAGTAGTTCACTATGTACATGTATATCAAAACATTATGTTGTATACTTTATATACATTTAAAAAAGAAAACATATTTCATTGTCTGGATGTACCACAGATTATTGATTCACCTACTGGAAGTTTTTTTTTTTTTTTTGAGACAGAGTTTTGCCCTTGGTGCCTAGGCTGGAGTACAATGGCATGATCTCGGCTCACCACAATCTCTGCCTCCCAGTTTCAATCGATTCTCCTGCCTCAGCCTCCCTAGTAGCTGGGATTACAGGCATGTGCTACCACGCCCGGCTAATTTCGCATTTTTAGTACAGACAGGGTTTCTCCATGTTGGTCAGGCTGGTCTGGAACTCCTGACCTCAGGTGATCCGCCCACCTCGGCTTCTCAAAGTGCTGGGATTACAGGCATGAGCCACCACACTCGGTGGGATATAGATCTTTTATTTAATTAAATTAGGGTTCCATTTTACAGCTCAGGGACTACAGCAGAGAAGCAGCAGGTGGCAGCATTCCAGATCACTTGGAAGTCAAAAAGGTCCTGATTAACCTAGGCTTGCAATGATGTACTCCAAAGGATGAGTCTAGGTTTCTAAAGTCCCAATACCCACTGCATTAAGAGGTTAAAGAAATAAAACTGATTTGCTGTGGCAGCATCAATATGACTGGTGTCTTATAAAAAGGGGAAATATGTACACGGAGATATGCACAGAGGGAGAACACCATGTGAAGATAAAGGCAGAGACCATCTGCTTCTATTAATGCAAATCAAGGAGCACCAAAGATGCCTGCAAACCACTACAAGCTAAGACAGAGGCATGGAACTGATTCTCTTACTCACAGCCCTCAGAAGAAACCAAGTATGTGGACACCTTGACTTTGGCGCTCCAGAACTGTAAGACGATACATGCCTGGTTTCTAAGTCAACCAGGCAGTAGTTCCTTGTTTCAGCAGCCCTTGGAAGCGAATACAACACCCCAGCCTGGGTGAACCAATTCTGCCCACTGATGGGAACTGAATGGAGGATTTCAGGCCTGAAGGAAGGTGGGTCCTGAACCAATCAGCTGTCCCCATTTCAAACCTGCTCCAAATTGATCACACAGATAGTTGCTCCTGACACCCTCCTGCCCACTATATCCTCTGTTGGGGTACTGAAATTCCCCAAGAGGGGCCAGCTCCATGGGTGTGTAACCTGTGCAGGCACACACAGGGCCTGCTGCTATTTTAATTCTCTGGTGTTGCCATCTTGAAATTCTTAATTTTTGAACAAGAGCCCAGCATTTTCACTTTGCACCAGGCTCCCAAAATTGTGTAGCCAGTCCTTTCCCCAAACATCTCGCCAGCTTTCTCTCTTTCAATCAGATCCTATCTACTTTTTCTGAATTTCTTATTGTGTCTGATTCACTGAAGTCAACCCCTTCTTGCTTCCAATGATTTTTTTTAATAGACGTTTCCTTTTTTAATAATATTGTTTCTGTAGGGATTTGGGCAGGAGGGAATGGCCTAAGGGCACTGCGTCAGCCATCTAAATTGAATAACCCAAAGTAAACAGGACTCTTTTACCTATTAGGTTGTTAGTCCTATCAGGGACATTGGCTAGAGGATGGAGCAGAAGTTTTAAAAAGACTGTGTGAGCCTTGGCCCAGACAACACAGCTCTGGGACTCAGGTGACTGTATATAACTGAAAATCATGAGGGAGTGATACACTGCCTAGGACTCTTGAAGGCTTGAAGGTGGCTGGCTGTGTCTGTGTCATACTAGCATGGTGATTTGCTAATCTGATCATTTTATTCAAAGCTCCCCTTGAAATCCTGGCATAGGTTTCTGTTATCCTTGGGAAGCTGTAGCAATTTGGGTCATTGTTCCCATTCTGCTCCTTCCCTGAATTAGAAATACACACTGGTGCTCTTTGCCACAGTCCTCTACAGTGCGTTGCACTGTGGGGATCATGACCTTCCCCATCCCATTGACCCTGGGTTAGCCACGTGGGTTGCCTTGGCAGATAGAACTTGAATGGGATTGTCCATATGCCAGTTCCCAGCTGAGGCCGTAAAAAGCGTTACGTATTTCCACTCACCTCCTTGCATTTCTGCCATCTGCCATGAGAAAGACACACCCCAGATAGAGGCTAGTCCAAAGAGAACGAAGAGACAGTCCCAATGCCCAGCCTGGATTCAAACCTAGCAGATTATAGCTAAATCCAGAAGAAATACAGCCTCTCTACATACCCATAAGCAGCATTATCGTGCTTGTTTATAGAGGCCAGTGAGTTTGGGAGGTCTTTGAATTATTGCAGCCAAAGTTGACTGATACAGAAATAATGTAATTTTTTTAGGTGGGCTTGCGTGGCCTTTTCTGGCCTGGACCTTTCTATTTGCTCAGTCTTATGTCCTCCTCCTTACCCTCTTCTCTCTCCATTCCACACTCAGGTCAAATGTACTATGTTCTCTCTCAGCTTTGAGCCACTAACACATTCTCTTCCTCCATCCCTGCCCTACTCAGGATCTTTTCACTTGGCTTTCTCTTTCTCACTCTCTAGCTCTCAGTTTAAGTGCCACATCCACCAGTAAATCTTCCTTAAGGCACAGTAGGAAACGCTAATGGCCCTGCAACGTACTCTCTCTGCACCGTGTTCTTCCATATCAGAGCACTTAGGACAGTACTGTGTCACTGCTATTACGGTGGCGGAAATATATTGAGATGTTTATTTGTATCTCATTGCTGTAGAAGAATCAGGACAAATGAGAGACAGCAATGCTTTGCTTTTTATACAACTTTATACACTTGCACACAAATGAATCCCAAGGAGCTATAGGGTGCCTCCCTTCCTCCGCCATTGTCATTTTAAATCAAAAGCAGAATCTGGTGTGTGTGGGGGGGGAGGCAGGGTGTGTGTGTGTGTGTGTGTGTAGGGGGTTGGTTTATCTTACGAAATTCCAAGAAATTCTAGTGAAATTCCAGAAGGGGAATGGTGAGGAGGAGTGTGTCTTTGCAGTCTGACTATGAGATGTTCCTCAGAATGAATGTGGACATGGGTTGGCAGATTCCATGAATATGCAAACCCATGCCCGCCATAAGAATTTGGAGGGCTGGTGCACCTACGAGGAACTGAGCCTCAATGTCTGGGCTCTTAGGCCTCAAGAATGTCTGTTGCTAAGTGTCATGGAAACAACAGCTTGAGTGAACTTGAGGAACCATGCAGGCTTGGAAAATACAGCGCTCCACAGAAATGGGGGTAGATCAAAGAAAGATTGCAAATCTAATGGCTTAAAACAATACCAATTTATTATCTCATGATGTCCCATGGGTCAGGAGTCTGTGTGCAGCCAAAGTCCTCTGCTCAAAGTCTCAAAAGGCTGAAATTGAGAATCTTTTTCTGCAAAGTCTGACATTAAGGAACTGAGCCCTAATAGTGTCTGAGACTGAATGACTTGGCATGCAGAGATGTCAGGCTGGCAATGGAACTTAACTCGATTGACAAACACAAATGCCTTTGATATTTCTTGGCATCATCTCATTTAGCTTTTCTTTTTGTTTTAGAGATGGAGTTTTGCTTTGTCACCCAGGCTGGAGTGCAGTGGTGTGATCTCAGCTCACTGCAACCTCCGTCTCCCGGATTCAAGCAATTCCCCTGCCTCAGCCTCCTGAATACCTGGGATTACAGGTATGCACCACCATGCCTGGATAGTTTTCGTATTTTTAATACAGACAGGGTTTCACCATGTTGGCCAGGATGGTCTCGAACTCCTGACCTTGTGATCCACCCACCTCAGCCTCCCAAATCGCTGGGATTACAGGCATGAGCCACCATGCCCAGATCTCATTTAGCTTTTAAATGCCTATCTATTACACTTCAATTTTCTGTCTTTCCTGGTAGACCATAAGCTCTTGGAAGGTGGGCTGTTTCTGTCTTGCTTATTGTTGTACCTCCAGAAGCTAAGACAGTTTCTGTAACATTATAGCAAGGCAGTCAATAAATATTTGTCAAATGAGTGCTTGACTTTTAGATGCTTGATATGAGCTTACTGTGTTAAATTGAACCAATTCTCTTAAATGCCATGTGATCTGTGCAGAGTGGGCATCACTACAGCTGTTTCAAAGAGGAAGAACCAGATTTGGGGAGTTTAGGTAACATGGTCAGGGTCAAGTCAATGATAGGACCTGAGCTAGAACTTTTTCATTATATTCGGGAAAAAAAATTAATCTCTTTTTATTTGAAACACGGCCCTGAAATGTAGCACGATGACACATTCTAAGTCGTATGAATCATACTTTTCATCTTCTATGATCAAGAGTGGGGAAGGTGTAATGAATTAGAAGCCTTTATAAGGTGTGATTTTATGTTGAGGCCTCAGATACTAACATCGCATAGAATCTCAAGCTCTGTAGTACCTGAATCTTCCGAGTGGATAAGTCTCCTCTTAATAGAAGCACAAACTAAATCAATCTTGGCCAGGTGCAATGACTCATGCCTGTAATCCCTGCACTTTGGGAGGTGAGGCGGGCAGATCACTTGAGGTCAGAAGTTTGAGACCAGCTGGCCAACATGGTGAAACCTCATTTCTAATAAAAATACAAAAATCAACTTAGCATGGTGGTGAGCACCTGTAATTTCAGCTACTGAGGAGGCTGAGGCATGAGAATCGCTTAAACCCAGGAGGTGGAGGATGCAGTGAGTTGTGACACTGTAAGTGAGACACTGTCAAAAAAAAAAAAAAGTGAGACACTGTCCCTTCACTACCCTCCCAAAAAATAAATCTTAAGAGCTCGTGGCATAACCTGGTTTCTCTCAGACAGACTAGACTCAAATCCTCTTTCAGATTTTCTGATGCCCAAATAGAATCGTTGTTCAGTGAGCAGAAATCTAGCATGTGGATGATACTTCTTATTAATCATGTAACCATTCCATTAATTCTTGCTTCTGGTCTTTTGCACAAGCTGTGATGCTTGTTTGAAAGGCTCTTCCCCTTTCTTGTGGCTCCATCCTTCTCACTCGTCAGTTCTTGACTTAAACATCAATCCTCAAGGAGTCTTTCCTGAAAGGTTGTCTGGGGGCACCCTCCCTCCCCATGAGTCCCCATCACTGCACACCATTTATACTACTTTTCATAATTTGCAACTACAGTTGACTCTTGAACAACATGGGTTTATACTGCACAGATCCACATATATGTGGATTTTCTTCCACCTCTACCACCCCTGAGACAGTAAGACCAACTCTTCCTCCTCCTCCTTAGCCTCCTCAACATGAAGACAATGAGGATGAAGACCTTTAAGGTGATCCACACTTATTTATTTTTTGAGTCGAGTCTCACTTTGTCACCCAGGCTGGAGTGCAGTGGCCAATCGCAGTTCACTGCAACCTCTGCCTCCGGAGTTCAAGCGATTCTCCCTCCTCAGCCTCCCAAGTAGCCATGACTACAGGTGCACACCATCATGCCCAGCTAATTTTTGTATTTTGGGTAAAGACAGGGTTTCACCATGTTGGCCAGGATGGTCTCTATCTCTTGACCTTGTGATCTGCCTGCCTTGGCTTCCCAAAGTGTTGGGATTACAGGCCTGGCCACTGCGCCCAGCCCCATTTCTCCTTAAAAACAGTAAATGTATTTACTCTTCCTTATGATTTTCCTAGTAATTTTATTTTCTCTAGTTTAAATCAACTGTAAGAATGAAGGATATAACACATATAGCATAAAATATGTGTTAATGGACTGTTTGTGTTATCAGTAAGGCTGCTAATTATAGTAGTGAAATGAGAAAAGTTCCCTTATCCCCCTCGCAGAGTGTGTGATGGGGGTGTGGCTTGCTTCATAGGTGCCCCACCGCTCAAACCCCTTAGAGGGAGCATGCAGACAGATCAGCTGTGGGGCTCTGACCCACAGTGTCTAGGGGTGAATGTTTATGGCTCCTGAAGCCCAAGTGAGCATGTGTTACAGTGTGCTCTTTTAGTTTAGCCATCCGCAGGCAGATGATGCTAACCGGCTTAATTAGACCCCACAACTGTGTACTACAATTATCACAAGACAAAGGGCTTTCTGGTTCCCAGGGCTTCTTGCCTTGGTGTACCGGAAGAATGGGAGAACATGTAGGCTTGGAGAATGAGTGCAAGGTTTTATTGAGTGGAAGTAGCTCTCAGCAGATGGGGGAGCCAGAAGGGAGATAGAGTGGGAAGGTCGTTTTCCCCTAAAGTCAGGCTGCTTAGTAGCCCATCCTCTGCCCTGACTGTCCCGGCCAAACTCCAGGTGGATCTGACAATCGATGGCCTGCTTCAGAACTCATCGGTGTGCTCTTTTGCAGGTGTGTTCCTCTAGACGTCCAGCTGCTTGTGTCTGCCACTAGGGTCTCGGGGTTTTTATGGGCACAGGATGGGGGCATGGTGGCCCAATGTGATCTTGAGAAATGCATATTTGGGCAGGAAAACAGCGATACCTGTCCTCACCTAGGTCTGTGAGCACAAACATGGGGGTGGAACCCTAGCCAATGACCAGACTTCCCTGCCCTCCTTCCATATCAGTAGGCCATCAGTAGTCAATTTTGATTGACTCCCCCAAAACTTAAACACTGATAGCCTGCTGATACAGGGAGTTGGTGCTCCTAACCCCCACGTTGTTCAAGGGTCAGTTGTGTATAGGAATTTACTTGCTTATTCATCTTCCACTCAATTTCATGCTTTGCAAGTGTAGCTACCAATGTGGTTTATTTACCAGTGTTAACTCAGCTCTAACACAGTACCTAGACTAAAACAGTCATCAATTATTAATTAAGTGAATCGTGAATGAATTAATGAATGAAGTTCATAGGGTCATTCAGCAAATATCAATTGAGTGCCAGTTATATGCATTAGAAGCTAGAAATACAGGTTGGGCACAGTTGCCTATGCTTGTAATCTCAGCACTTGGGAGGCCAAGACCAGGGAATTGCTTGAGCTCAGGAGTTTGAGGCCAGCCTGGGCAATATGTTGAAACCCTGTCTCCGCCAAAAATACAAATAATTAGCCAGGCATGGTTGTGTGCACCTGTGATCCCAGCTACTCGGGAGGCTGAGATGGGAGGACGGTTTGAACCCAGGAGGCAGATGCAGTGAGCTGAGGTCTCATCACTGCACTCCAGCCTGCATGATAGAGTGAAACCCCATCTCAATTAAAAAAAAAAAAAAAGAGTGAGACAGACAAAATTATACAAGACCTGGATCCTTCCTTCTAGGTGTTCACAGTTTAGTACAGAAACAAAACATATATACAAGCTAAATAAATGGCCCAGGTTTTACCTGATTTAACCACAAATGGAGCAAAAGTAACACAACACTTAAATTGCAATTTTTTTTGTCCCACCACAGAACTACATGAACTTACTGTACCCCAAGAGCTCTCTCAGTTATTTTTGCCAGTCCCCAAGGAGGTTTTCCTGTGCTCCAATACCAGTCCACTCATGTTCTCCTCACTCCTCCTAGTCATGCTGACACATGGCTCCTGGCACTAGCGCTTTCTGTTCTTTCCAGGGGTCCATGGCTTTCTTGCCTTGCATGGGGCATAGGGAGCTCCTACTTCTTCACTGCTGCTTATCCCAGGGCAGCTAAATGTGGCTACGGTCTTCAGGCACAGAAATGAGAAGAATGCCTGGGTGTACCTGACTTGCCCGGGGATCTGGTTACAATTCAGGTTCTGATACAGTAGGTCTGGAGTGGGCCCTGAGAGTCTGCATTTCTCATAAGCTTCCAGGTGATGCAATTTTGCTGGCCCCTGGACCACATTCTGAGTAGCATGGACATAGAAGATATTTGTAGTGGGAACAGGAAATGCTCAGTCCACATTGGCTGTTACAATGTTCACACCTGGAAGACGCCTAGGACAGGGGTTGCCATTTTGCCATTGCCTTCAAGCATATCAGGTGCTTTCAGTACCCTGCCTATCCATCTCAGAACTCATCTCTACATGTAACAGCTTTAACTGTGAGTACCTATGACTGTTACAGTCCATGAACATATTGATGGCCCTCATGTAAAGCAGGTTAGAAATGCTGGAGATTAAATGCTTCCTAGAGCAACCTTTAACCTACAATAGACAAGAAACTGGGAAATAAATGTCCCATTTCTCCTGCTTCTCTGGTGGAACCATTCTGAGGCATGTGTCCTATACAGGCTCCCAGCATGCCTCAGGGAATGGAGGCCCAACTACTGGCATACTAACTTTCTTTTTTTTTTTTTTGAGATGTAGTCTCACACTGTTGCCCGGGTTGGAGTGGAGTGACACAATCTCAGCTTACTGCAACCTCTGCCTTTTGAGTTCAAATTATTCTCCTGCCTCAGCCTCTTGAGTAGCTGAGATTACAGGCACCCGCCACCATACCCAGCTAATTTTTGTATTTTTAGTAGAGACAGGGTTTTACCATGTCAGCTGGGCTGTTCTCGAACTCCTGACCTCATGATCTGCCTGCCTCAGCCTCCCGAAGTGCTGGGATTACAGGCCCAGCCTGTGCCCAGCCTCTTTAGTAACTTTCTTGACAGCACCCTGTTAATTTACTCTATTCTTTTCCCTGTCTCTCTTCCCTCTGTTCCACGCCCACCCCCCTACCCCCCACCCCCACACATATACACACACACATTTCCTAGAACTACTTCCCAAGTAAACTCTTTGCATCTGAATCTTTACTTCTGCATCTTTCTTTC